GAGGTGTGTGGGGCTGGCACCCCCGCCTGCCCCCCGTGCGCGCGGCCGGTGCATTGTTCTCCAGCGCTTGCATGAATATCGCTTGAGCCTGTCCGTTTGGTGAAAACTGTATTATTTTGACCATCTGCCATTCTGCTCAACTGCAGGAATGTAAAGCCCGACACCTCCCTCGCGGCCCTGCCCTCCCCCACACTTTTCTCCCTGCGAACAGCACCGCAGGTTTTGTTTTTAATCCAAAACTGACAGCTCCACATTTTTTTCACAGAAAATGCCTTTACACGCTAAAAGTCACATTTTTCACCTTTTTTTTTTTTTTTTTTTTTTTTTTTTTTTTTTTTTTTTTTTTAATGTGATATTTTCCCCTTCAGTCAATTGTCTCAAAGTACCAGTCTGGTAAGTGAAGGTTGCCTTTGAAATGCAAACAGGGGTTTGCAAAGTGGGAGTGGGATTTCAGATTTGGGTTGAGCTGCAGCATCCGTGACCTGGGCATCCTTCCCTTCGCTGCTCGGGGTCACTAAAACATCTCCAGTTGGCTAAAGGACGGGGACAGAGTTGTAACCCCGGGGGTGAGGAGGTGGGATGCCCTGCTGCCCCGTGCCCAGCAAACTCCGTGGAGTTTCCCAGCGTTATTCCCAAGGAGGAAGGGGATGGGCAGGGGCTGGCACAAGGCAGAGGTTACACCCGGTGATGGAGTGAGAGGGGCTGTAGGTTTGGTGTGAGGTTTTTTACCCCACGTGGCCCGGGCCCTGTGTTGAAAAGGCGGCCGAGGAGCCGGCTTGGGACTGGAGGAGGTCAGTTGAGCCCCGGGCCAGTCCCTTGCCTGGCCACCAGCCTTCCCTGAGGTGTCCCACGAGGGCAAGGCTGTCCCTGCTCCCCACCGGCCACTTGGCCATCACCCACGGCACTGCCCACCTTTTGGTGCCTTTTCCGCACGTTTGAGAGTCACCCGGGCCCGTGTGAAGTTGAAGGGAATATTAACGACCGGCCTGGTGGTGGTCAGGCCTGTGAGCCAACAGCACGGCCTGAAAAATGCAGCTTATTGTTGAGTTGGAAATAGGTTTGTGCTGCAAAGCCTGTGGGGGTGGTTGTGGGGTTGACAAGACCGGCCCCCACTGCCAGGGTGGGCCTGGGGCCTTCCCCTCTCCTTCCCTCTGCGGGCCGGGCCAGGCTGGTCCCCCATCCCACCTGGGATAAAATCCTTCCTGTTGAGGCTGAGAGAGACAATTGTAAGGCGGTTTAAAAATACATTCACAGCAGGCAACGCCTGGGGACGGGCCGGTGGCCCAGAAGCAAGAGCGGGGCCGGGTTGCAGCATGGCTCCAGGGATTCCTCTCAGAGCACCATTATGGCCGCCCCGGGGAGAGGCAGGAGCCCCACGCGCTCCTCAGCTGATCCCTTTGCTTCTGCCTTTCATCGCTGTGTTCCCGTCTCCTCTCATTCAGACGCCCCGTTCAGGCCCGGCCTCTCCTCGTAACGGCCCGTGGGGAATAATCGAGATGAAGCTTGATGTTGTTGAACAACAAAAGCGCAAACACCTGTAGATACCGCTATGGCCACCCGGGTTCTCCAGCCCACAGAGTTCTGGACTGGTGGCTGTGAGTGCACTGATAACCGTGGGTACTCACTGTCCCCTGTCAGTGGTGGAACTAATTAGAAGAAATTGGGATTCCTTGATTGGTTTTTTTTTTTATTGAAGGCCAAGACACCTTTCAGGTAGAGTTTCATGGAAGCATTCAAGGTGTGGAAACTCGCTTCCAGCTCTCCTCAGCAGATTAAATACGAAAGAGCCATTTAGTGGCACACAGCAAAAAATAACTTTACACCACGCACACTTGAAATAAATGATTTTTGAGTTCTGTGGGTTTTGTCAGAGCTTTGAGGGAGCAGGATGGGTCCATCCATGGTGGTACCTGGCAGCACAGGGCTGTGGGCGGCCACAGGCTCTCTGACCCGAAAGGGGCTGCTGCCGGGGGCTCTGCGGGGTGCCCACCCCCCACTGCCCCACCACCTCTCAATTTTGGGGCAAGCTGGCAGAGAGAAATGCCATATTTCTCCAGGAAAGCAGAGGATGGTGGTTCCTCAGCTGCCTGGGCCAAATTTCTATCATCAACGTCAACTTCACCCGGGCAATACCCAAGGTGACTTTGGAAGAGGAGGTGGAGAAGGGCTGCGTTTTGCCCCTGTTTGCCCCGGCAGTGATTCTGATGGAAAGACAGCCCCTTTTTCTTTTCTTACCTTGTTTTTGTCTCTGCCTGTTGTGTTTTCCAGGCTGCCTCACCACGAGTGCGAGCACTGACCTGACCCTCACCATCGGACTGGAGCTGGCAGAGCCCACCTCGCCCACCTTACCGCGTGCCTCCAGGAGCAGAGTCTCCGGGAAGCTCCGCCGCTCCGCCAGTGCCCTCAGCAAGGCTTCCAACTGAGCAGAACTCCGGCCCAGGGAACCCGGGAGACCTTAAAACAGAGAAATTATTTACTGCCTCAAGAGAACTTGCAGGTTTTGGATGAGCACGTGCTGAAGGGACATGGGCGAGTTTGCTCTGTGATGCTGATGCAGGCTGATGGTGGGACATCACCTGCCTTATCGTCCTGCGTTTCACTCCATCCTTTCCCCCACCGAGCCAAGGCGGGTGGCGGGGAGCTCTCGCCCCCAGCATGGCGCCGGGCTGACAGCACCACGCTCTGCTCCCCGAGCACCTGCCTGCAGGCAGCGAGAGGACAGGAACCAGTATCGAAACCCGTTATTTAATGTAACTTTAGAGCATTGCTTTTAGTCATTCCGGTCAATGCTTAATTGTGTGTTAGGGAATTTTGTCTAAATAGAGGTTCTCTTCTGACTAGCCACATAGCAAATGTTCCCCTCCCCGGGCGCGTGGGTGGGTGGGTGGTGGAGGTGCTGCACGGTCTGTGTTCAACCTCTGCTCCCCTGCTGTGGTCTCTGCTCGCCCAGCACCAGTTTTGTGCATGTAGCTAAAGAATTAGTGATCATCAAAGAGGTCATTTCCCTGAGATTCACGAGGGTACTGCCGATGTCACGGAGCGGCAGCAGGTGCGTTAAAGCCTGTTTAATCAGGGTGTCTTGTCCAAGGTCATACATCACCACCCACGGTGTAAAAATCCCAAAGCAGAAGTTGCTCCAGCCCCGGCTCGGTGGTGCCTGGTCCAGCACGGCAGAGCAGAGGACCAGCCTCCTCCTTAGTGCCTGCCTGTGGTGGAGGTGTCACCGCTGGGGTGGCAGCATCCAGCGCCGGCGGGAGGTGCCAGCTCGTGGCCACCGGCTGGGGCCAACCATTTACCTTCACCTCCTTCCATTTATTTTAGAGAAAAGTCCTCTTTCCCAGCACTGGCTTCACTTTGGGGATTGCTGTGTCACCTGCAGTAGTGCACGTGGTGGCTGCCTGCTGTCAACTACTCACTAGAAAAGTAAAAAAAAAAAATAATCAGATTTCTTCTTGAGGAGCAAATGCAGCACGTTTGCTTCTCGCTGCAGTGGGAATGACTTGACAGGGCACCTCTTGGGTAACCCCCTCGCCTTGTCACCACGTCAGGGCAACGGGCTGCACCTTGAAGCACCTCTGCTTAGAATGAAATAAATCCGGAGGCTTTTGAGGGCGTCCAGCGTCCTCTCAGCACTTTGCATCTTGTATTTTCCATAGGAAATGTACTGCAGCCCACGTGTATCCTAGGTTTGGGGGGGGGGGGTGTTAGAACTTTTTATAGCTTACAAAAAAAAAAAGTAATATAAAAAGAAATGTGAGAGACGCCCTGCAGCCACTCGCTGGGCAGGAGGAAGGTGGACAGATGGCAGAAACGCGTCGTTGCTCCACCGTGGTGGCACCGGGGAGAGGCCCCACGTGCAGCAGGACCTCGGCAGCGACGGGACCCACCAGCGGCCGCCGTGGGGCTGGAGGTGGCACCGTCTTCATTCCGGGCTGCCCGGCCCCTCCTGGCACACGGGGCGAGGGCAGGAGGTGGCTGTGAAGCAAATAAGGTTCTCTGAACATCATCTCTCCACGTCTGGACCATCGGGGTCTGCCCATTCCCCGGTGTCACGTCTGGCCCCTCCGGCCTCCAAACCCTCCTCAGGTCTAGGTTCACCTTTGTTGCTTTTTCTTCTGGGTTTTTTGGGGGGGGTTTTTTGTTTGTTTTGCTGCTTGCTGTTCAAACACAGACCTCTCCACCTGATGCCCTCGGGTGTAAGCAGAGGGGTTTCGGGTTCTGCCGAAGCACCAGGATGCACCCTTGGGCCACCAGATTCTTTTTTTGCACTTTTCTACTTGGGCGTTGACGTGAAGGTCCGTCCATCTGCGTGTCAGAGCCCAGTCCCTGTGGACAGGGGACACTTTTTGGGGAGCTCAGCACGTTGCTGCGGGGTCTGTGGTCGGGGCCGGGGGAGCAGGGACCCGGCACGGCGGGACGCGGGTAACGCAGCCGTCCTGCTGGGGAAGGAGCCTCGTCTGCTGAGGGGGTTGATTTTTCTGCCTCACCTTTTGGTTTTGCTTTCTCCTGGTTGTGTGTCGGCAGAGGAAATCAGAAAATAAACCACGTGTTTTAATTTATTTTCAGGGCTGGATAGGAGAGGCTGTCCTGGTCTTAGTTGTGCGATAAGTGGTCTGAAATAATTTCAAAGACGTTCTTCTGAATAAAAGGAGACTTTTCTCTTTAGAGCAATATGCATCTCTAATTCAGGGAAGAATTAAAACACCCATGAAAGTAGCATTTTCCTGATGTCAAAAATCTAAAAATGTGAATTTGTAAAAATCGAACTGCAGTTTTGTACCAGGAACTGCTCTGTTACCCCTCACAGACTTAATAAACCTCAGCTCACAGCAGAATTCTGTGAAGAGCAATCAAAATGGTGGGTGCCGGGGTGGTGGCCGGGTGGGCTCGCTGGTGTTGGAGCCGCTGGGCCAGCGTCGCGCTGCTGCCAGGGTCACTGTGGGGCTGGTTCCAGTGGGGTGGGGAGGCTCGTGTTGGCCAAGGGACACCACGGTGTCACCGGGGAGGGTTTTGTCTCCCACAGAAGGTGTGTAACCAGCAACTTGGGTTCCTGCTCAGCAAAACTTGTCAGTGTTGATGCCACGGAATCACAGAGTCACATGGGGTTGGAAGGGACCTCTGGAGATCATCTAGACCAACCCCCTGCCAGAGCAGGTCCACCCAGAGCAGGTTGCACAGGTGGGTTTGAATGTCTCCAGGTGGGTTTAAATGTCTCCAGAGAAGGAGACTCCACCACCTCCCTGGGCAGCCTCTCCCAGGGCTCTGGTTCCTCCTCATGTTTAGGTGGAACTTCTTATGGTCAAGTTTGTGCCCATCTCCTCTTGTCCTGTCCCTGGGCACCACTGAAAAAAGACCATCCCCATCCTCATGACACCCTCCCTTTAAGTATTTATAAGCATTGATCAGATCCCCCCTCATTCTTCTCTTCTCCAGACTGACAAGACCCAAGTCCCTCAGCCTCTCCTCGTAAGAGACATGCTCCAGGCCCCTCATCATCTTTGTAGCCCACACCATGACTGACCCAAGGGCAGCCTGCACATTCACACCTGGCATTCACCTGATGGTATTCTTAATTTAGGGGGGGCCTAAAACCTCAGTGGTGCTGTTTGCAACCCCCGGCTCCCAGCCATGCCCAAGGGCGGGAACCTCCCGCTGCCCCCAGCCCTTCCCGCTGCACGGGGCAAAATAAGAGGATTTTTGTATTATTTTTTTTTTTTTAACCTCATCTTCTAAAGAATATCAAAGTGAGTTGCAGAACTGTGTTCCAACTAAAGGTTTTGCACTTTTGTCACCATTCATAAGGGCAGGACACCTGAGAGAGATGGGTAGAAGCTGTTAAAGTGTCAGCCCGGGTGTCGCGGGCGCCTTCCCCCAGCCCCGGCCCGGGGGGGAGCTCGTCCCACACGGGCAGCTCGGCCCCGCACACGCTGAGAGCACACCTCAGCTACAGACGGGGCCTGCTGGCCAAAAAACACCTCTCCTTACTCACCCCATGGCTACAGGGAGGCTATTATTGTGTCCCAGTCCCCACCACGAAGAGACCTTTGCCGTTGAGCGCTGGGAGCGCTGCCGCCAGAGGGGCTTCTCCAGGAGAGACCCCTCTCTCAGGAGCCGTCACCACAGCGCTCGGGTGCCCAGGGCACGGGTGGCCCCGAGGAATAGTTTTCAAAGCAGCCATCCTTCAACTGAGTGTGGAAGTGGCTGCTCTGGAGAGAACTCCCAGTGCAGAGCTCCTGGTCCAGCATTCCCAGTGCAGAGCTCCTGGCTCACCATTCCCAGTGCAGAGCTCCTGGTCCAGCATTCCCAGTGCAGAGCTCCTGGCTCACCATTCCCAGTGCAGAGCTCCTGGTCCAGCATTCCCAGTGCAGCACTCCTGGTCCAGCATTCCTAGTGCAGAGCTCCTGGCTCACCATTCCCAGTGCAGAGCTCCTGGCTCACCATTCCCAGTGCAGAGCTCCTGGTCCAGCATTCCCAGTGCAGCACTCCTGGTCCACCATTCCCAGTGCAGCACTCCTGGCTCACCATTCCCAGTGCAGAGCTCCTGGTCCAGCATTCCCAGTGCAGCGCTCCTGGCTCACCATTCCCAGTGCAGAGCCCCTGGCTCACCATTCCCAGTGCAGCGCTCCTGGTCCAGCATTCCCAGTGCAGAGCTCCTGGCTCACCATTCCCAGTGCAGAGCTCTTGGTTCACCATTCCCAGTGCAGAGCTCCTGGTCCAGCATTCCCAGTGCACGGCCATTAAAACCAGTATGTTTCTAATGGTGATTTTCTACTCTATGGAACATTACTTAAGAAAATGGGGTGTGCGTGTGTCCGTGTGTGTGCACTCTCAGTCACAGCTCCGTGAGGAACGCCGGGGGATGATCTGGCAGTGGGAAAAGACACTTGGAAACGCCTGTCCCTTTGCTGGTAAGAGTTGTTCTCTCTCTTAACTTACTTTCAGGTGCGTCGGTCAGAAATGGAGATTTGACCCAAATGGCTCCAGGCAAAGCAATTTGCAGAAATCACTTTACAGGCTAATTAGGCACCCGGCTTCCACCCATCCCTGGTGAGGAGGATCCCTGTCCCAGGCGCTGGAGCTCCGTGGGCAGCCAGGACCCTCTGCAGCAGCAGAGGATGGGGCAGTCGTGGGAGAGGTGGGGGGGTCACACCGGGGTGGGGGGGTCACACCAGCACCGTCCCCAGCACTGGTTGGGTGTGGCTCACCATTCCCAGTGCAGAGCTCCTGGTCCAGCATTCCCAGTGCAGCGCTCCTGGCTCACCATTCCCAGTGCAGAGCCCCTGGCTCACCATTCCCAGTGCAGCGCTCCTGGTCCAGCATTCCCAGTGCAGAGCTCCTGGCTCACCATTCCCAGTGCAGAGCTCTTGGTTCACCATTCCCAGTGCAGAGCTCCTGGTCCAGCATTCCCAGTGCACGGCCATTAAAACCAGTATGTTTCTAATGGTGATTTTCTACTCTATGGAACATTACTTAAGAAAATGGGGTGTGCGTGTGTCCGTGTGTGTGCACTCTCAGTCACAGCTCCGTGAGGAACGCCGGGGGATGATCTGGCAGTGGGAAAAGACACTTGGAAACGCCTGTCCCTTTGCTGGTAAGAGTTGTTCTCTCTCTTAACTTACTTTCAGGTGCGTCGGTCAGAAATGGAGATTTGACCCAAATGGCTCCAGGCAAAGCAATTTGCAGAAATCACTTTACAGGCTAATTAGGCACCCGGCTTCCACCCATCCCTGGTGAGGAGGATCCCTGTCCCAGGCGCTGGAGCTCCGTGGGCAGCCAGGACCCTCTGCAGCAGCAGAGGATGGGGCAGTCGTGGGAGAGGTGGGGGGGTCACACCGGGGTGGGGGGGTCACACCAGCACCGTCCCCAGCACTGGTTGGGTGAGGGACGTTCCCCTGGCCCTGGGTCCTGCTGCACCACGTCCCCCCCAGCATCACGCTGGGTAATTTACTGGGCATTAATTATACCCTCCAGTTCAATTGGTATCATTATTGGAGCCCACACATTACAGCGCCCCCCTGGGGACGGGCATTTATACAAAGGTGCGACCCCCCCCCACCCCGTCAGCAGGTGGGCACAGGGCAGGCGTGGGGCTGATCACCCCCCCAGCCCCACACGGGGCTCTGGGCACAGGGCAGGCGTGGGGCTGATCACCCCCCCAGCCCCACACGGGGCTCTGGGCACAGGGCTCCCCAGACCAGCCCCCCACTGGCCCACGGGAGGTGCCCAGCCCCACAGCCGGGGGGCACGGAGGGGGTCCCCGCACCCGGGGTTGGGGGGGGGGCTCAGCCAGCCAGGAGGGATGTGGCCAGCGCTGGGAGAGCCATGCTGGATATAGTGTATGTATATCTATGATATAGTATATATTCTAGGTATTAAATATACATTGATGTGTGTATATCACATTAGATTATAATCAGCATAACATATGTGACCTATGATCTATGTGCTATATAACATATGGAATGTGATACATATTATATACGCATACACATATACACAATATAATACACTGTGTATTGTTCACACCTTAATATTTCATAATATTAATATTCGGTTTATATTTATTACTTTTATCAAAATATGGATGATAAACTCTAGATATACTATATATTACCCATACGTTATATACATATATATACACATAAATGCACATACCTAGTATATATTTTATGTCCACATGACTATATAAGCTATAATATTGTATGCATATGCATTATATATATGTACGCATATTATATGCAGTACACTTTAAAAATTTACATACGACAATTACAGTTATATAAATATATAATACCATATATATCGTCAGCAACGTATGAATAATAGATTTTATAATGAATATATCATAGAATGCATTATATTGTGTGTTGCATATTGCATATATAATACACATCACAATATTCAATGCACTACATAAAATACAGTATCTAATACTATAGATCATGCCTAACATGTATGTATAATATGTTGTGTATGCATACATATGTGCACCTAGTCATAAGCCTATATATGTGTGTAGAAATATACACACCCAACAGTGCACTATATAATGCCTGCTCTGTACTCTGTAATATACAAATTATGGCTACAAAGCTAAGAAAAATTTTATAAGACAATATTATTTCATCCCATGAGTACTGATAATGTATCAGTAGTGACAGATAATGCTCTATAACCTTATGTATATAATGTCTTATAATATGCATTATATAATAGCAAGATATAATTTATAATATACATACTATATATTATATTCTAGAATATTTCTTATATATATTATATTCTAGAATATTTCTTATATAATATACATTGATAAAGTATGACATATTGTGTGCAATATATTATGTACTGTACTACATATTATGAACTATACTTATATGGATAATCTATATGAAATATAGGGATATAAAAGGAATGGACTGTTTATATATATATTTATGTAGACTTATAATTTATTACATGTAATAAAGTCTATATATTGTGGGTGTAACTAAAAATAAAAGGTTCCATCTCACGCAGGTGTATGGCATTCCCCTCACTTTTCCTCTTTGATCTTTTACTGCAATACATGTAATTTACATATGAAAACCCAGTGAAATTAGCAAATAAAATGATAACTTTGGTCCTTATTCTGATAAATAAAAAAAAACCCCAACATTCTGAACTGAAACTGAAGGGTGTCATTTACCCACACCCCCCCAGCCGTTAGGGCAGCGAACCCCATCAGGACCTGGGGTGTCACCGTCCCCGTGCTCTGCTTTAAAACACCTTCTGTAAACCAGCTTCCCCACCCCATCAGAAAAGGTTAAAAAAGATTAAGTTTGCCTAAAAACTA